TGCGAGGGGTCGGGGGTAGAGCGGTTGAATCACGTTGGGGGGGAGTGAAAGCCTACCACCAAAGGCCTTTATAAAGAGGGTCTGGGTACTGAGATAACAGAAAACAGGGCCTTATGTAAAGCCTCCCTTTCCCCCTTCCCCCTCGGCTCCTCCCCCCACCTATAAACTACTTCGGATTATAAGGAGTAATATAGAGAGTCTCTAATCCTAGTCCTTCTATAGTCATTTACGAAGTAAGCTTAACTATTTAGCTATAGTACTAGTATTCCTATTTACTTAGATATAGTACTACCGTACATAATAACTATATCAAAACTACTATGACACACCCCAAACCTTGCGTTTTAATTAGCTAGAAAAAGACTCTAGAATTCTATAGAACTCCTAGAATTCCAGATACTAATCGATAGAAGGATTCTATTCTATTTTATAGGTGCTCTAGAAGTATTCTATATAGAATATTCCACCTGGAATTCCATGGAATATGGTTCTATGTGCCGAGCGTTGTAGGAAAGTAAGAAATAGCTACAATCGTCACAAAAGAATACCTATCAATATGAGTCTGATCGTCACTTTCGCCATAGGATCAGCAACTTGAATCATGAAGAAAACGAACAACAGCAAATCTTGGTTTGACACTAAGAACTTGCTTGAAGTTTGAAAGTTCGGATACGAAATACAGCTGAAAGTTTTAAGTAGACTCGTTGAATATAAGACGCTTGAACAACACTGGTACGGCATCCTGAATCTACTGCTAAACCAGATGACTTAATCGTAAATCGCAAATCGTAAATCGCAAAAGTCATATGTACTACTACCGTGCTAGAGTGCCTATACCCCCACACCCCACGTACTTAATATGAGGGCCTGATTATGTAAACTCGCCACCTACTATCGCACCCTCACTATCGCATGCTCACTGTCGTATCCTTACTACCCTCGCTGTCGGATAGGGTTGTGCCCTAGTATTTTGTATATAAGAGAGAGGGGGGGAGAAGAGAGAGAGAGAGAGAGCTACAGAAGCGGGGAAATATTTTAGTTGTGTGTCGCTTATTCCCAGCCCCGGATACTACCTTCCTAAAACGGCTAGGCTAGCACGTGTTACACTGACAATTGTTTGCTACCTACCTTTCCTCGCTCTCTCCCTCCTATTTTCTCTTCTCTTTCTTTCCGACAACCCTTTACAATAACCCTTTGCGATAACCCTTTGCGATAACCCTTTGCAATAACCCTTTACGACTAATAAAGCTATAGAGATAGTAATAATAAGAAGGAATAGGGGGTATTTGTTTGCCGGGGGGTACGAGATGTAGGCGGAAGGTTATAACAAAACCTACGAAAGCGCAGGGGGGGTAAGAAGGGAGGGGGGAGAGAAAAGGGGCGTTCGAGTTATATTTAAGCTTATTTACTTATATTGAGTAGTATTGAGTAGTTTTACCTTTAATTTCAGCGCTAGTATAACCTAAGCTAGTTTGCGATTTACGACTTGCAATTTCCTATAAATAACCTTGAAATAGAGTATTTACGATTTACGATTTACGATTAAGTCATCTGGTTTAGTAGTAGATTCGGGATGCCGTAACTGGGAAGCCCAAATGGATTTCTTCATCCCCCTAGTCCTGTTTACAATAACAGAGATCCATGTCGGTAACACGTTACTTTATCGAGTGTCTTGCGGTGCTGTATGAGACAGCAGAGCGTCATTGACTAAATGCTAAGTAGGTACCTTGGTAGATGGCGTTGAGCTGGCTGAGAATGTTATGGTGATAGGTACTACTCGTCAACGCCAGGAATAATATTTTAACGACAAATTGGACGCGGCAGAGAATCGGTTGATGTTACTCTTCAGAAGAATGAGAGCATGCATGGCAGCGGATATAAGTACCCCCCTACCCCCTACCCCCTCTTTCTTCCCCCACTTAAAAGGGGTTGAATACATCATCTCACCATAGGGAATACAGACCAAGAAGCACGCCTCTCACCCTTCAACTCCTCTACATCCCAAGATCCTTCAAGAACCTTGAATCGTAAAAGAATGAGAGATACAATCGCACCATGCATTATTTCAGCCAAGCAAAAAAACACAGAAGCAACCAACGAAGCGATATCGGAGTATCCTCGAAATGCAACAAACCCAAAAAGAATACTCAAGTAGAGTAAAGAGTGAACCGCAACGTAATGTAACTCCCATCCAGTATCCAAATAAAGTCCAATGAACCGAATTAAAGATTTCACTAAGAGTGATGGAACGAATATCCAAGAAGCATCCAGAACCTTCAATCACAGACTTACAACTCGAGACAACACAGTCAGCTACAGATACCGAATAACATCTACACACGAAGCTACTGTATCGCAGCCAACCCACCACACTTTCCCCCCTCCCCCACCTCCAAAAAAACACAATCCACCTCACTCGCCAAACGACCCACCCCACTCGACCAAGTACCAAACCACAAACCCCCTCCCTCCCTCCAATCCTAAGACCCCACCAGACAAAGAGCAAACAAGGATAACGCAACCAGCGAAATGCAACAATTCCAGAAGCCAGACTAAAGGACCCATGTAAATCTAAGTCCAAAATAAAACTTCACCACGGGAAGGCATGATGATTTTCCGGTTATCCAGGACCTTCAATTCCCTCCATAAAGCTCTATCAGGACTTTCTTCCCCGAAATCTCGGAGGGGACTCCGATGGGGGGGGGGTTAGTTCTAATACGGTGATGGAAAAGCGAGATTATGCTGAGACTATGTGGAATAGCATGATCGTCACCGTGTACAGTAGGTCCTTGAATACATCTCCGGCTGAAAATCAGATATCCAGATCCAAGTCAAATAACCCCAAAAAACCGCGTTCACAAGGACATGTAGATATACTGACACCAAAGTGGAGAAACCAAAAACATTGGCGACGCAAGGAAGTGGATACTCCCTCCTCGCTCCCGCACCGTACCGTGAAACATACCATCTTTATAGCTGCCAATGAGGAAGCAATCTTTAGATGGAAGTTTGATGTTTGGCTTCGTGTAAAGGTACCAGGGACAAGCTTCTAGACCTTCAGATACTGTATGACTCCCAAGCCTCGGGATTCTGCCCGAGGAAAGTGACGAGTCGATTTTCTCTTTGTCGAGTGTCGGATTGCTGTCATGATCATGGGACTTTTGGAGATGGGTATTTGGTAGATTTGGGAGGATGTGATGGATATGTAATATCGGTCAAATAATAAATTTCGTGTGGGGCATGGGGAGAGTATGACCACGAAGCCACCCGACAAGGTGATGACGATAGAGAAAGCAGTCTTCTAAACTGTGCAACAGCACCAAATGAACTAGCTCAATAACAAGTTGATTCAAGTGAAGCCCTAGACAGGGTACAAGGGGCATGCGATTTGCAACAAAACATAACCTGGACTCTGGCTCATAGAGATGTAGAAGCAGTTGCTTAGAAAGTAGTCTTCTGAACTGCGCAACAGTACCAAATGAACTAGCTCATGAAGATGTTGAATTTAGCAGAGGGCTAGACAGGGTACAAGGGAGACGCGACGTGTAACAAAGTACCCTCTAAGTATAATTCCTGAGAAACTCGAAGCTATTATAGAAACTAAAGTCTTAGCCTAATAAGAGAAAAAATAGAACCACCTATACTAGTTTATACTCCTAGAATCTAAGGAAGAACTAAGTAGGGTATAAGGGGGCTGCGATTTACAACAATCCAGAAACTGGAGTATAGTACAATCTCTAGACAGATCTTCAGCCGTTGTAAAAACTAAAGCTCTAGTCTAGCACTAGTATAAACAAGAACATCCGCGTTAGTACTACCCTTTAAAGCTAAGGAAGAACTAAGTAGGGTACAAGAGAGATACGATTTACAATAATCTAAAAACTAGAGTACAAAGTCTAGAAAGATCTTCAGCCGTTGTAGAAACTAGAGGTTTAGTCTAATAATAAAGCGAACAAGAAATATTTCCTTAAATCTACTCGCAGTCGAGTAATAAACAAGGATCAAGGGCCCTGCGAATTGCAACAAAGAAATCCAACGAGAGCTGTGATTCCAGTGGGAGGATCAGACTCGGACTAGGGACATGGTTATAACTGTAGAATAGTGAATTCCAAGCGTCCTTCGGGACTGGGTAACTCGGTGGAGCACAATATGACACTTTATCCACACATTCTTCGATTCCAGCTGGAAAAAAAACGAAGCCGTTAACAATCTAGCGTCCTAGCTCTATGATAGATCCAACCAAGCCATCTCCGCTGATTGCCTCGGGGGCCTCGAATCTAGTAGAGCACCAAGCAGGATACAAGGGAGATGCGAATTGCAACAAAGAAAAAGGACCAGAGCTGTGATTCCAGCTGGAAAAAAAACGAAGCCGTTGACAATCTAGCGTCCTAGCTTTATGATAGATCTAACCAAACCGTCTCCGCTGGGTCGAATGCTTCGAATCTACTTAATAGTAGAGCACCAAGCAGGGTACAAGGGCGATGCGAATTGCAACAAAAAAACCATTTAGCTCATGAATACCAAAAGAACCAGAAATGAAAGAAGACCAGAGGTTATCTGACTCGTTGCTAAGAACGGCACTTGTTCCCAACTATGCAGGGGTCAAGGGGAAAGCGAATTGCAACAAAAGATATGAAGTTTGGAAGGATGAAGATGCTAAGAAATTAGAATGGAAAAGGGGTAGAGACAGATGGTACATCGTCGTGCCGTGGTAATACTCAAGGGGGGCGGTTCCTGGATTTACTAGGATCTGGGGCATAGCGATATGCAACGAACTCCTCAATGGAGATGCAAAAGTATGCAAATGGAGGAGATGGCACATTCGAACGACAAACAAGCTCAGGGCTCACGGAGACAGCTCTAGTTTCTATGGAACCAAACCGCCCCGTAGTCAGCTGGGATCAGGGAGGAAGCGAGTTGCAACAAAGAGAAAGGAGATGGTGCAGACGGGATAGGACATCGCCAAGTTGTTCGAAATACCTACCTGGAGCTATCACCACATGCCGACATGGTTCTGGGTTGATGCGAAATGCAACAACTGGATTTCAGATTATGAGTGTCAAAGAGGCAGCGGACAAGTAACGGAGGAAAAGGAGAGACTAAATCTTCCTGGCGTCATTCCACCCGCATTCTACAAAGAAAGCGTGATGAGAATGACCAGGGTCAGGGGAAATGCGAAATGCAACGAAAAGGTCGAGATGGCGAGGTCAAACTGGGTCGAAGCTAGATGGTGGGTACAAATGGATGATCCGATGAAAAATGGCGTTGAGAACTAAAAGGTGACAAGAGTAAGACAGCAGGGTGTATTGGTGTAAGTGGTTTGTAACAAATTCCAGCTTGACAGACGCCGTCGACGACAGGGATCGAAGCGATCTGCAACAAAATTGAATTGCGGACAGAAAGATTAACAGCTAGAGCTTATTCGAGGGGGGCAGAAAGAAGCAAGCAGGCTACGAGTACAGGCTAAAATTGTGCTTCCAGCTTGCAGGCAGTAGGGCTGAAGCTATTGATATCGACCTCGGCGATACCAACGAGGTCATTCAGAGCTACCACTCCAGCATTTGCTCAATTGAAAGCAGGATGTTGATACCGTATGGTTTTCAGGGTTCCCGTCAGCTCAGCTCCAAAATGACGTCGGGTGTAGGTAGTCCGAGACCACTAGTCCTGGACTGCCCGCAGCTCACATGCTACAGTACATGCTGCTGGAGTGCTGCAAGTATCCATGAGGGTGAGAGCAAACATGCATGAAGACGAGAGCAAGCATCCATGAAAATAAGAGCAAGCATCCATGAAAATAAGAGCAAGCATCCATGAAAATAAGAGCAAGCATCCATGAAAATGGGAATGGGAGGTAAGAGCAACAAGGAACAGGTTCGCGACCAGGATAATGCGAATTGCAACAAGCAAGAGCAAAACGTCCGGATGGGAATGGTCTCATCACCCCTTTGTGTTGCACTTTTTTTCCAGGGAGCCTGGACCCGCGTGCTGCGTGCTGCGTGCAAGCCAAAGAGGGGAATTGGACGGGGTCAGGGATGGAGAGACTTGCAACAAAAGACCTCTCATTGTATGCTGAGAAGGGAGAGAACGGGCGTTTGCCAGCGCTTTTTGTAGCACAACAGGCTCAAGGTCCAAGGAGGCAAGGAGGCAAGGACTCCAGCTGGATACTGTGCTGCTTGCCCGCGGAAAACAAGCTGCGTGCGGTGAAACGTTTACCAGCTTGCTGCTGCAATGCGCTGCTAGGTGCAGGCATATCGAGTCATGGTCGACCTAGCCCTAGCCAACCCGCCACAAGCACAACCGCAACCACCATCACAACGTGACGAGCAAGCAAACATCCATCGACACTCCTCTTCAGCTTTGCGAAGGGGTTCAACGGGCTCAGGCGAGCACAGGAGTCTTATTGGTACTACGGGAAGAAGAAGGGCTCGGACGGGGCCGAGTGGTGGGGTGGTGAAGTGGTGAAGTGGTGAAGAAGTCTTTGTAACACTTCAGAGTCAATTGAGCGGCCGAGGCAAGGGACGCATGTATAACCACATCAACGAGAGGGGTGCTTGTGATTGTGGTTGTGATTGTGGTTGTGATTGTGGTTGTGGTTGTGGTTGTGGTTGTGGTTGTGGTTGTGGTTCCGTGGCTGACAGGGCTCTCTCAGAGGTCCATACTCGAGTAGAGCCCTTGCCGGTGGAATATTGGTTCGAGATTGGAGTGCCTTGCCTTGCTTTGTCGTCAAGAGAGCCAGAGCTCCCAAAAACGTGGGGCCGAGCGAGAGCTGTCGTCAAGGCATCCCTTGTTGGGAGTCGGTTGGACAACATGAACTTCCAGAACCTTGGCATGGAGAAACGTCGCTCCGGTAGCACAAGATGATACTGCTCCCGATTCTCAAATATAACATGAGATTATACAATAACATCCAAGGACCTTCCAAGATTTGCCAAAGGGAAAATTTGATGGGCAAAAAGAAATACGGGAAAATAGAAAAAGATGCTGTAACATTGACTAGGACGAACCCTCCATGGGATCACATCACCACACTCAACTCAATCCACCTCCTCGTCCTCTCTCAATCCACCTCCTCTCCCAATCCACCCTCACCCACAACCCTCCTCCACATCCCCAAATGCCTAATCCTCGCCTCCCACCACTCCCCCATCCCCTCATCAACCACGAACCCATTCCTCCCCCAAGCCCCTACAGCCTCCTCCTGCGCATGAACACAGACCAAACCCCTCCACTCCCCATCCCCATCCCCATCCCCGTCCCCATCCCCTCCAGCAGCCCACTCCGCATTCCCCCGTACCCAACGCAACGCACTCTCAACCAACGCATCACCAACTCGTTTTCTCCTCCACTTAGGCACGACACTCCATCGTCCAAGTTTGACATAAGGCTCACTCCCATCATGGAATGAAGTCTTCCGATCCCGTTTACGGACCGGAGATGGCGCGAAGAAGAGCTCTTTTGACGGAATAGGAGAGACATCAGAAAATATCGGAGGGTCACGCTGAGAATTATATTGAGGATGGGTATCAGAATGAGGAAAGGGAATAAGACGTATAGTCCCAATAGCTCTCCCTATCGCACCATCTCTCCCCTCCCCATCCCTAACTATCCTCTCATCAGAACTAGAACCCGACTCTCCAGACGAGGAAAAAGCAACGCAATGACAAGAACGAGCATCCTCAAAATCAAGATGGTGTTCCAACGGACAAGCACGCTGTTCCTCCACAAAGATTCGCTCGCGGACTGCAAAGCAGAGAGGAAAACTGGTGGGATGTCAGCCGGTTGGGCGGAGGATGGGAGGAGTCAGTTGTAGGTATGGAGATGGGTTTGTGGTGGATTTTGGAAGCTGATGGTGAATGGTGGCATGCTCTTTTTCTCGTTGGAGTCTGAAGAGATGATATATTAGGGGAGTGGAATCCGGGAATATCAGTCATAGGAATTTTGGAAATTTGTAGCGGATGAAATGATTCGGTTGAAAGGAGACACCACTAGGCTCGATGTCCATCCGTGCTTATATATATATTCAGAAAGCTACATTGATAGAAACTGCCGGCTTCGATGACTTGAGATGACTCATTTGGAGTAAACCCCACGTGATGGTAGTAAAGCTCAGTCAACAAGTCAATAAGTGTGTGTGGTAACAACTACCAGTACTCGTACAGGGAAGTAATAGAATAGTCGCTTAGAATGGCAACAGGAGAAACAGGGAGACCACTGGAGAAGGAGGCAAATAAAAGAGTACTCCCTCCGTACGTAAGCCTACCTTCTTATATCGTAGGCGATAAGTCACATATATATTCTCGTCCAAGTAAGGCCGTGTTAGAGTTCAATTGTCTCTAAAGGCCAATGGCAGCCCTCGTCATTGAGCCTAAAGACAGAAGACAAGTCAATCATCTTCAACCATTATCATTAGATTAGAGCAATTGTTCGAATCTCTCTATCAAACCCAGGTCCGTCCTTCGAAACCATGTCCATCTAAAGTAAACACTTGGATATCCGTCACACATATATACCTACACTACCACAACTCACCAATCTGCTCTGTCTGGAAAACGACTACCGACTTGACGCCAGACCAGTGGCATCCTACCGATCACCACCATTATTCCTGTCCTAAGTAATCAAGAGAACTCCAAGGGCTGACTCGCGATCCATCATCATGGACAGGCACGGAACTACTTCTCATCCCTGCCCCAGCTTCCCCATCGTGATATCTTCTTCCTCTTTCCATCGTTGGGCCAGCACTTCGATCACGAGGTTCTCGAACCATTGCCCATCCCGGTTCTCTTCGGCCTCGATCATGACCAGGAGGAGAATTGGTATAGCCATGTTGCCGGGCCATTTGTTCCCGGGGGGAAGGGCTTCGACTAGGTTATTGTTGCTCTTGCTGATGATAGTTTTGTTCTCTAGAAGTATATCGACCATGATGTCGTTGCTCCTGATGATCATGAGCCTGAGCCATTTGCTCTCTGGAAGATTTTCGGCTAACATTAACATGACGCCTTCTAGCTCCATGTTCTGGCCTCTCATTTGCATAATCATATCTATTTGACTGCTCACCCTTAGGTGTAACTGGGTATGGAGGGTTTGAAGGGTTTGAAGGGTTTGAAGGGTTTGGAGGCCACCTCTTTTCACCTCTATAAGCACCTGGATCGCAGTCCTGAACGCTAATAGTAGGTAAAACGACCGTTACCACTTGCTTCGGAGCTGGAGCTGGAGACGAAGGTGGAGCTGGAGCTGGAGGACTTGGAGCACGTGGAGTACGTGGAGGGCGGCGTGGTTCTACTATCTTGACGTTAATTTAGACAACCTTCAATTCTCTGTAAGAAACTACCTACCATGTCTATATGAGACATATGGGTCTACCTGGTAGCCATCCATATCCGCACGATTATTCCTACGGGGCGCTCTTTGTTGTGGCGCTGGAGATGTTTCATTAGAATAGTATGGATCTCTATTCCAATTATCCCGATAATGCTGTGCTGCTTCTTCTTGCGTGAACTCCTGTCCGTACGTATCTTCTGGACCCCTTCTTCGAAATAACTCTGCATCAATTTCCTCTTGTGTCCATCCTTGCGCTCGGCGTACCTGCTAATGTAAGTAATGTGCCGAAAGTTCAGGAGTATAGCAATCATTATCTCAGAGTATTTAGAAGATCCAAGCAGTTGTAGCCATGGAAGTTCCAAATACCCTGAGAGCCCGAAGTGCTGTCCAAGAATATCATAGGCGTAGTGGAGGTTTTATAGGGTTGTAGAACACTTACATTTCCAGAGCCCCGTTCCATATTTCGACGCTCAGATTCTCGCAAGTAATAGTTTTCAGGTTGCGATACTCTGTTTCTAGGCGGGGTAGTATCAATAGGAGACAGATACTCATCTTCATCCGGACGACGAGCTTGCGAAACCCATGGGAATTCCGACAATTCTGCTTTTCTCTCCTCAATGTACTCCGTTGGGCGATCTAACCTTCCTTGATGGTGACCAGAATGTGTATTATGCGGCTCAACATATCGAAAGTCTGGAAGATGATGTTGTGCTAATGGCCGGCGAATTTTCGTATCTGTGACCTTTATGCTGCGGGTCAACGGAGAAGAGGTATGCGGGCCTGCCATACGAAGAGCATCATCAACAACATCGCTTGGGCTAAACTGTCTTTCGTGGGTTCTGTATCGTTCCATAGGCTGGGATCTTTGCTGTGGATGTGATGAGAAATATTCGTATTCATGCTCGTATCTGTGGTTTGGGGGTCGTCGTCCCTGACGTCCACGCTCCTCTTCTTCGAAAGACTCTTCGTCGCTGCTATGTTCTGAAGGTTCATAACTTTCCTTCTTGTGTTTGGATTTTTGACGTCGCACATGTGATTCTGGGTCGCTGTTGTACTTGTGTCCCTTCTTCGCACTCTTGCCCTGTGAACCATCTGGACTGTGACCTTCAAATCGAACATGCACCTTCTTGCGTGCACTCTTATGTTTATGCTTATACTTCTTATCCTTCACCTTCCGCGATTGCTTGGAGCTACTCGAACCACTAGTTGAGCTAGCGTCGCTCTGGCACCTCCTGCAAAAGCCTGTGTTTGATACTTGGCCAAGCACCAACGGGTGTTGGATATGGTATCTCTTGGACCTCGGTTTTCCGCAATGATTGCAATAATGCCCAGTGCGATTCGTTTTCGAGGGTTTCTCTTCTTTACTGTCCTTTGCACCCTTTGACTCCGTAGTTGTGTTTTGAATAACCTTGTAGTGCTTAGTGAAATCTTGAAGATTTGAGAAATCGGCTGCTGTAGGATTTGGTGGATGAGATACGGAGCTCATCGGTACTTGCTGATAGTTGGGAGGTAGAACCATAGGACGGGCGTTTTGATGATATGCGAGGTACGCCTGCTCAGGGTATACTCCAGGAGGATATAGGACTGGTGTGCCTCCGATCATATGAATAGTTGGTAAGGCGCCGATAGACTTTGACCTCTTTTCTTTTTCCTTTGCCTTATGTTTGGGAGCTGGGACACCAAATATTTCTCCCATGATACCGACCCCCGTCGCGAGAGGCTTGTCTTGCTTGTATCGTACAAAATGTGGTTTACCGTGTATTTTCTTAACAGTCTGCGCGTAAGCGGGGATGCCAGCCTTGACTTTCTTCTTCTCCTTGTCGGACTCGCTACCTTCCGAGCCACTGGGTTTGTACCTGTTCGACATTCAGATGGAGTCCCTCAATATTAACAGATAAGATTTGAGCGCTGAGGTGTGTTCGCATTAGGAATAGATAGTGGATCAAGAATGCTTACAATGTGAGCATGGTTGCGACCAGAGAAGGAGGCCGATCAAACGCAATTTATTGATGGCAACCTATGGCAAAGACATTTGCAGAATCTGGGCGCAGTTGTGGTGTGGCGGGTCAGCTGTACAAGATGTCTGGTAGGCGGGTTGAGGTGAAAAGGAAAGAAAGAGCTTTCTAGTCAGACGAGGTTTCCTTGCTATGGTCCATCGCCTTACAGTGTCTGCGAATGAAAGCCAATCGATCGAAGCTCTTTGCGTAGAACGTCAAAGCGGCGGTATTTACTTGGGGGCAGTACAGACGAAACCTACGTACTGCCGCTTTTACCGTCTATCTTTGGTGAATGCCCCCTTCAAGAGGCAACTGCCACCGACAGCACCTCTCTACTGTTGATCCAGCAACCACCAACCAGCTCCGTCTCCTGCACCAAACTTTGACGATATGGACAAGCGAATCCAAGGGCCGGTCACACAATTAGGATTGGCCAATGCAACGATTGGGGGGAAAGGAGGGACGCGACACATCGGCTTGAAGCATGTATTGTCTACAACTTACCCCCATCCTCCCCCGTCTCTAGGTGGCTTTACTTCGTAATACCTTTCCAGAAAAGAAACTCCAAGCGCAAGGGACGGCCTTGAGTTTTACCATTATCTTGTGTATTTCTCGGCTTCTCGGGGAATTAGTTGCGGTTGAGGCAGTGTTGACATTGGCTTGGCCAACTAAGCGAATGACACAACTCAAGTCAGTGAATAAACACGCAGTGGATAAAAACACACCAACCTCTTCATATCATCTTTCCGCAAAAGAGCACTCAACGTCTCAAACTGGTCAAAACCCAGAATAAAGAATTGCAAAAAAAAATGCCCAGGAGTAATGACCTGGGCACCGACTATACTCTGCATCTTCAAGCGAACTCGAAGAAGTTGGTTCATCTCGCAAGTCAGTCGCGCAGCTCGATCCGTGATCCATTGGGCCACGAGCGTACCTTTTGAATTAGCGGAATCTGAATGCTGGCAGTGGTTTCCTTATTGATGGTTATCTACCCAAAGGGAGCACGTGGGGCTTCGTGTCAAAGATTCATCCGATAAAAAGCAGAGTGAATAATTTGAAAATCCTCTTACAATTGATACAATCGTAAATCATAATTACTGGCATCGGAGCCGGCCGAACCCAGAAACTCGACGACCGTACTAAGAAGGATTTTAGTATATCGTGATGAGCTGTAGAAGTTGAGTAAAATGACTAAATACTTACATTTCAATACACCTAGCCATCAGACAAAAGCTGCTTGCACTTGCGACTGTTGACTCAAATCAGACTTATTATCATCAGTATGGCTTTATAATCATGCAAGTTTGATACGAGAGCAATACCATCCGTATCAAACTTCCACGACCAGGCAATGATACCACCATACTAACATACTCACAAAACAATCACAAAACAATCACAAACGCGGAGGCTTATTTATGAATACATTTCTAGATACTAGTAGCAAAAAGAATATCCTCGCTGCAATTTTTAAGCCGCGCCCCCCATGACATATGAGATATGATACATATTTCTCTTCCTTTTATTCAACACGCAAAACTTTTGGTCCCCTTCTCTTGGTCGTCTTCTTCTTCTTGTTTCCTCTCTCAAAAGACGCGGCTGCAGTATGGTTCCTACCAACATTGTCAAGGTCCTTGACCTTGTAGATTCTGATGATCCAGTTCTCACTGGTGAATGCCTCGTCCAAGGTGTTGAGTACTGGCCCTTGGTCGGGCATCTTGACACCACGAACTCGATCCTGGCATTGTCCAGCAGGGAACATAGTGTGGTAGTTGTAGTATGACATCTTGTACCTAAAATGGCATTAGTATGATTATCAATGTCTCATCAAAAGATTCTTACATCAAGCTATTCTTCATGGTCTCAGTGGCACCACCGTCCACTCTGTACTCGCCTCTCTCAGTGAAGAAATCACGCTCCTTGACCTCATCGGGCCAGATGCCTTCAGCGATTCTGACCATCCATAAGAACTTGTTAATGTCGTCTCCGGAATAACCTAAAAGTCCACCAAAAACCACAAGAACGTAGTCCACTTCGTGTTGACGCATGATTGGGTAGCTGACTTCCTCGCTAGAACTCATTGCCTTTCCGACGGTGGCAATATGGGTATTGTTCCAGGTGTTGTTATCTACGAGAGTAGGTCTATCGGCCATACCACCAATTTGATACCCATAATCCCACCAGGACATAATTTTGGCGTCTGTCTTGGTGTTTTGTCGAAGCCATTGGTATGCCTCACGGTAATCATCGATAATGTGTTGACTTCCGTCTGGCATTCTGCTTGCCAAAACCACGGATGGAGACGAGTAGGCATTGGATGTCACCCAAGTGCAGTGAAGAACGAAGAGCAAAAGATAGGCAGTTAATGCACTGACAACAGACCCCTTAGAGAATGTGGTATAGATACCAACAAGTGGCGAACGCATAGAGCGGAGACCATCTTGCTTGATGGCTTTCTTTGCAGCACCGTTAGTGGCGTCAGATGCGCCCTCAGCGGGTGCATCTGGAGAAGTCATAGTAAGATATGTGTCTAACAAGTGTGATAAGACCAAGGCTGCGGCGACACAGACAATTGGCGTAAGGGTAAGCATCAATCTGACCATAACACCAGAGAAGTAACTGGCCAAAATGGCGTAAACAACGACGAAGACTTGCTCGTCAGCCAGCTTGAGGAAGCAAAGGTAAACACCGGCTGGGAAGAGCCAGATGAGGAGATTGAGATCAAAAAAGAACGCTGGCCATGCAGTAGGTTGGTGTTCAGAGACCGAAGCAATGATGGGAATGTGAATCTTGGCGTATCCAGTATCCCACAAAGAGTAGAATCGACCAGTCCATGGAGCAATGACACCAGAAACTGTTAGGAGAACGAGTCCACCAAAGGCAATGGTAAATACGGCAAGAACGAATCCTCTCAGGAGAGTAGTGAATTGCTTGCTTGGTACGCCGGAACGTACAAATTCAACGAAACCAATCAATTGAAGTAGTCCGAAAACACCTAGAAATTATTAGTTCATAAATTGGCAAAGCTTTTTTTATAGATAGATTTACCCAATGCAGACATATGTTCACTACTTCGGATTGGCAAAAACCCAACGAATGGAATTTGCATACTAGCCAATGTCCCCAAGGAGTACCAGGTGCAGTAGCTGACGTAAAGTCTTGGGCTGAAACGACCCATGCAAACCAAAACAAAAACGTGCAATGGGATCAAGTTGGTAATGAAAACATATCCTCCCCATGCAGACACCATGTAACCGTAGAATAGAGCGCAGAGAGCACCCCACATGGCAGATCCGAGCTTGAGTGCTTTGATCCAGAGGTAGAAGGTAAAGACAAGAAGGAAAATGGCGATAGCCTCGTTATCGTAGCTGCCAGCAACTGAACGCGAAATATAACCCGGGGCAATTCCCATGAATGCGGCTGCGAGTAAACCGGCTGAAGGAGAGGTGGACATCTCATTTGTAAAAAGGTAGGTCGCAAATGCGGTCAATCCAGAGAACCCCGGGGCAAGTAGTACACAGATATTTCGGATATCAACCGGGATAGTGAGAGCTCGTAAAGCATGGTAGATGGCACCACTTGTTACCATAAGACCTGGGTAGAGAGTTCCTCCAGTAACTCTTCCAAGTGGATGCCATGTTCTATCGTCGAACCAATCCCAGAAATCGTAGAAGCCATTCGCCACCAAGTATTTTGTAGCTCGGAAATTGAACCATGGATCGACTATAATAACAATTAGTTTTTGTATATTCGTTGTGTCGGAGGCGGTATTTGAAATGTCGAATCGCAAATCGGACAGAATAGTTACTAACATTCGTGAATAATACTCTCGAAACCTATCAATGAGCGAGTTAGCAGACTTTCTTCGCATGAGAGCACATATAAGAAACCAAAAGAACGGATCCGGTAGCTCTGAATCTGTCTTCGGCAGAATCTTTGGTTGTTGGGTATACATACGAATAACGGAAAACAGCCGACTGGCAATCGCAGCTGCTGCAATTAAGCAAAGAATCGACAATCGTAATATTCCTCTCGTGTTCCTCCCCGTATTACCCTTGAGGAAGGGCTCAACTATTGAGTCCGTCATCGTGGTTGTTGATGCAAAGTTGTTGTCGCGGACAATGTCGTATATCTGTTCGCTGAGATGTAATCTGTCTCTTGGAGCTTGCAGCCCAGCTGCAGGGGTCGAAGCTGCTTAGCGCATTTTGTCATGGCGCAGGCATGAACGCCGAATTTCTTCCCCAAGCATGAGATGAGATAAACTCCCGTCTCAAGGAATCAAAAGACTCGGATAATGGTTGTTAGTTTAGTCTATGTGGTAGGCTACTGGTAGGGAGAGTTATGAGTGGATAAAAAATGATGTGCTGATGCAAATTGATTTATACGACCACCAAATATAATTCTAACTTCGACCTCGACTTTGACGTACCTAGTTCGAGCCTAGGTAGGGTTCTGATAACTCTAACAAGTGTATATATAATAGTGTTTCCTAATTTATTGAAGGCCATTGAAACACCTAGCTTCAAAACTTATAAGGCTAGCTGGTTAAGTCAATTGAAAGTAGAGATAGGCAGAGTTAGAGTATGTACAGTCGTGTTCGTCAGCCATAAAAACACATAATCGTACGGCATCTAGTACTTTCTTTTTCAAAAAAGTACATTTGAGCTTAGATCTACTCTCGAGGTAGTTTTAAAGAATAAATTGATCAAATAGCAGATGTGATTTAGACAGTTATCAGGGTCTACCCTTTGGTTTGTTACATGCTCAAATATTCTAGTGAAAGTTCCTGATATTCTTTCAATGCATCAAAACAAAACTGAAAGACAGAGAAGCCGACAAGTATGCAAATTCGAATGTGGAGCGTAATTCTTTGGCCGACCGCTATGCTAACATTCCAAAGCCATGTCCATCCACTCTTACTCCTGAATATAAAATCTACAAGATAGAATCTGGAAGTAAGAAAGGCTCTGGGTATACCAAAGCTTTGAAGAGACAAATGAAACTTGCAATCGACTATCAACAGTTCCATTAAGAACCCCACCGTGTTCTCATTTCCCTCCCACCCTATGAGTACAATGTACAAGAAAATGCTGATTGACGTCTAAGGCTCTTTTATCAACCGTGAACATGCCATATGCCAACCAGAAACCCAACTTGTGGCTCCTCTTGGTCATTTTTTTCTATTTCCTCCCATCATTACAATCATACACGCTCCTTCTCACAACTCCTACTTTGTTTCTGCCGCAACAGCGTTCAGAAGTGCCTCCAAATCGAACCGCGAGTCCTCAGGATCTCTTATGACTGTTTCGAAATAGTCAGCATACGTTGCAATACATATAACTAGCATTTGTGCAAGCCGCCCAAATAACCGCCCAACTGTTGTATTTCCAGGGGGAAAAAAAAAACGTACTATCTCCTTCTCCCGTCTTAGCACCCGCAGGCAGGTTCTTCTTGGTATATTCCGCCTTTGCTTGGTCGATCAACTTCTGTTTGTGCTTGTATTCTCTATCGATCGCGGCCAATTTCGCAGCTGTAGACAGAGAGGCTTGGTGGTAAACTCCATAGAAGACGCCGGCACCTAGAGATGACCACCTCAGGATCTGAATATGACAATCAGCTAAGGTTCGAAGACATGCGCACAACTGGGAACAGAAGAAGCCCCAGAAGAATTGAGAACCCACGGAGGGGGGTTGCGCAAAAGTGTTCAACTGACGTTTATTCCAGTAGAAGCCATTATCGTATTTTTGTAAAGAGAGAAGGTATTCGGTGAGGATTTTTTGGTTAGGCAAGGCCAATTGGCAACGAATCGCAGCTACGAGGGTCGTTGTACGTGATTGGGAGATATGCGGAGCTGTCAGGTCGGGTTGTGACGAAGAAGTTCATCCCGAGAAATTCCACCTTTTGGATCCTGTCACGTGGCGCGGCCTTTGACGTTTGGCCGACGCGACTTTGATGAGAGTAGCGGTAGTGTTTACTTCACTGGACCAACAAGCTGGGAATATCCTCTGGTCTCCATTACCTCCCTGGTCGCCAGCTGTACGGACTACATCAAAACACATCCACAACCCCAAGAAACCCGCGATTCAGACAGCCGGCTGCCTTTTCCTTTACTGACGGAGCCCCTCGATATGGGCACAAAGTCGCAGAGATGATGCAACAACGACGAGATGAAATTCTGGCGAAGAAAGCCAAGCTAGCAGAGCTAAAGAGGCAAAGAGAGCTCCGGAACAACAGTACAGCTAGCAGGCCAAGTATTGGAGGACCCAGCGAGGCGAGGAGACTCTTCGTGCAGGCCCAATGGATCATGTTCTAACAAACATCTAGATCTTGTCTCCAACACCCGCGAGAGGAAATATCGATGATTTTGTCAACAAAGTACTAGGGGACCACAGGAGCAGTAGGCCAAGCTCAACGGGCTTCGGTTCAGGGTCACAGGCTGAAAGGGGAAGCCGCCCGAATAGTGTATTGAGCGCTGGTCAGTTAAGCAACAATAACTCGGAATTCGCAGAATCAACTGTTGCTCCAGCAGCTCCAGCAGAACCGCTATCTATATCGCCACAGACTCTATCTACCGTTCCTTTGTCTACAGTATACGAATTCACACCCTCACCAGTCAAGGAGGTATTCTCCTACAGCAAAGGTGTTCAAACAACAGAAGAATGGACCCAAACATCAAGACCAAAAGCATATGACGATTCCGAAGATTCTGGCAACGAGACTCCAGTCACTTCAACGCCAAATAAGCGTTTGAGTAGGCGAGAGCGGACCAGAGAGGAGGAATTACGAGAAAATATTCGTAAAGAAATTGAGGAGGAATTGAGAGCTACCAAAGATTTGAGCATCGATGGACCACTTAAATCCCCTTCAGCGCAGGGGCCCATGAACTTTCCGGCTAGAGCGCTGACGGCGGAAGAGCTGAACGCTGTTACATCTTCAGATGAATTCATGGACTTTGTTGAGCGGTCCAGCAAAGTAATCGAGAGGGCCTTAGACCAGGAATATGATATATTGGCCGATTACGCGCTTAGTGGAGGTGTGGTTGGTGATGACGATGACGAGGTAGGAAACACTGGGGGCAAAGGCCGACGAAAAGTGAAGGAAGTTGCTCAATTTTATGATGAGAGATGGTCGAAGAAGAGAATGGTTAGCGCCATTGATTTCTCCCCGAAATTTCCTGAACTTGTACTTGCAGCATATACGAAAAATCCTTCGGCGCCTCACGATCCTGATGGACTGGTTCAAGTTTGGAATATGCATCTCCACGATAGGCCGGAATTTGTTTTTCACGCTCAATCTGATGTACTCGCTGCAAAGTTCTCTCCATTCCACCCAAATCTCATTATCGGAGGCGCGTATAGCGGGCAAGTTTTGTTATGGGACACGAGAGCAAAATCATCACCTGTTCAAAAGACCCCTCTTACAGGATCCGGCCATACACATCCAGTATACTCTGTGGATATTGTCGGTACACAAAACGCCAATAATATCATTTCCTGCTCCACGGATGGTGTTGTCTGCGGATGGACAGTGGATATGCTTGCCCAACCACAGGAACTGCTTGTACTGACAACACCTCCACCTGCTAAAACAGAAGATATAAGCCCAACGTGTATGGCGTTTCCACAGACTGACCCTACATATTTCCTCGTTGGCTCCGAAGAAGGGACCATTTTCCCATGTCATAGGTACGATAGAGCTGGTGCAAAGGCTGGCGTAGATCAAAGAGTCAGCTACCGTGGTCACGCAGCTCCAGTAATGTCAATGGACTTCCATCCTGCCCGAGGACCTGTGGATCTTGGGGATCTCGTTTTGACGAGCTCATTAGATTGGAGTGTAAAGTTATGGAAGGTTCGCGCACCCGCTGCTACCTCCACCACTGGGGTAACTGGGGAGGGGCAATCCGTAGCACCAATTCTCGACTTTACTCGGGAAGACGTTGTGTATGACGCAGCCTGGTCTCCCATTAAACCCGGTGTGTTTGCACTTGTTGATGGGGCTGGAAGCCTGGAAGTATGGGATATCACTGTCGATACTGAAGTTCCCCTTACGAAAGTCCAGCCTAGCGGAAGGAAGGACGGAAGAGCCATGCTATCAAAGAGCCTGAACAGAGTTGCTTGGGATCAAACGGATGGCAAGCGTCTTGCTACAGGAGGTATTGATGGAGCTGTCACTGTTTTTGAAGTTGGCCCTGACCTTGGAGGCAAAGAGAGCGCGCGGAACGAAGAATGGACAAGCGTTAAAAAGCTCTTGGCCAGATTAGAGGCTCAGGGACAGGCTCCTAACGGAGTGAACGGTTTATAATTTGACTTGTGCTGTAGGGCAAGTTTTTTCGATGGGGGCATTTGGTCATGTACTACATATCGGCGTTAGTTGCATATACCCATTCATCACCAACTAATTGATCCATACACACTTACTTTGACTCGAAAGCTCATGATCAGAACCACCACCAGAGCTTCAATTGGTGCTTTCATGTACTTGATTTGCATGCTACTTAAATGAGTTGCTGCACGTACCACCAGGGCATTCGCAAGAGTTGAAAAAACACATAGCATTGTACGATGATGTTCAAATATTGAGCGTGATTAGCTAAGCATGTACAAACCCCCTGGTGCCCCCTCCTTGGTTAACCTCGCTTAGCGCTTATTTCTATTTGATTTTCCAATGAAAGATTTCCGTATCCCTCCCAGTGGACAGGAAAAGTAGCGGAGATTTCTTTTTATCTTGGCCTAACTTGACTAAAAACTATGCTATTATGTTATTTTTTAGACTAATGGATATGATTAATCTAAAAGGATAGGACAATAAAGGCAATCTTTCTAGATATTTGAAACATTTTAGTACTTAGGATTAAGTTACGCTAATAATCAAAAAATGATCCTCTGCCACTTTTCTTGTTCATCGGGAGCCCCCACGTTGCTTCCGTCACGCGCAGATACTTTACATATTTATGTTGATATAATAAGCTCAGCAACGCTACGCTACGATATGCGCCCAAGCACAGAACCTATCGGTCCCCCCCTCCAATTATTAAAAGCTCGAAAGCTTGTTGATACCGAAATCAGAAGAAATCCAAGGAACATAAAGTCCTAGAATATGGATCGAGTGCTCATTTCGCTGTTGAAGAGTTTCTCCTTTGTGGACTCCGACTACAGATACTGAGGCTGAGGCTGTAGTTGCTGGCTAATAGAGGTAGACCAGGGTTCAATACTTCGTATAAGACCACCACATCACGAGCCTTTGTATTTCTCCACTGGTTACCGATCATGGCCATGCCATGGCTCCATGAATCGAAGATAAATTTTCAGCCATGCGGGTGTGGGCACCGATTTTAGTTTCGCCGACAGTTCTCCGACTCGAAAAACGTCATTTCGCCGAAATATTTTCATCGGTTTTAAAAAAAAACATGCTGTGATACACCAAACTGATACTATGATTGTTAAGCCATCCACTCTGTTTTCATCCATCTGTTTGGCTATAGTCAACACAGCTTCTAATATTATCAGACCATTTAACCTGAAACTTGTCACAAAGAACAGATTCGTATGTAGTGGAGTTGCATTGGATGCTTTCGTGATGACATATGGAGGCGAACGGACCCGCAACCTCCCAGCGTCGTAGTGTCTTCTAAACTTCTACTGGTGTCCATGGACATGTATCCATTTTACTGTTGAAACGCAGAAGCATAATTAATAATGGAGAGGTCCACCTTGAATCTGGCTTGTCTCAAATTAGGTTGAAAATATATAAAGGCATCCTCTCTGGAAAATCATATTCTTCCTTTTCCCATACAAATCCCTCTTCTCATCTCATCCCACTCTAAAAACATCATCTACAACTTTCCACAATGTCTCTGTTCCAGCCACTCAAAATCGGCAATGTCACACTTCAAAACCGTGTAGTATTGGCACCTCTGACACGTCTCCGTGCCAGTGATGACCATGTCCCACTCCCCATGGTAGCAGAATACTATGCTCAAAGAGGCTCCTCACCAGGAACCCTTCTCATCTCAGAAGGCGCTTTCATCCGCCCCGAAGCAGGTATGCTATTTAAACCTACTTCAAAAAAGGCAGCCATGGCTAATAAAGTTGTGACAATTACAGGAGGAATGACAAACGTCCCCGGAATCTGGAACCAAGCACAAATCGATGCATGGAAAGTCGTTACAGACGCAGTCCACACGAAAAAATCATTTATTTTCCTCCAATTATGGGCTTTAGGAAGAGCTGCTGAGGAACCGGTATATTTCCCCCATCTTCTCATTTGAGATTGTTGAGTGAAAAAGATTGCTGATGTTGAAAATTAGGTTCTGAAAGAAGAATTAGGTCCAGATGCAAAAGTTGTTAGCGCAAGTGACATCCCAATCTCAACACCATCAAAGGTAATTTCCGCCTACGTCTCTGGCACCTCAGTACCCACACCCTTAACCGAGGAAGAAATCCAAGCCTACATCAAGAACTACGCTCAAGCTGCCAAGAACTCCATAGCCGCAGGATTCGACGGTGTCGAAATTCACGGTGCTAATGGATATCTGGTTGATCAATTCCTTCAAGACGTTTCCAATAAGCGAACCGATCAATGGGGAGGCAGCATCGAGAAGAGAGCCAGATTTGGTCTGGAGGTTGCAAAGGCTGTTGTTGAAGCTGTCGGTGCTGAGAGAACTGGGATTAGAATGAGTCCTTTCTCAACTTTTCAGAGTATGAAGATGGACGATCCGAGGCCGCAATTCTCGTACTACACCCAGGAGCTCAAAAAGCTCTCTCTTGCGTACATTCACATCGTTGAAGGACGAGGAATTGGTGGTCTTCTGAAACCTCCTCCAGAGGAATCAATCGACTTCCTGCTCGATATTTGGGGAACATCTCCTGTTCTTCTCGCCAGTGGTTTCTCGCCCGAAACTGCGATCAAAAGATCGGATGACGAGACGGCCAGAGGAAGGAACGTTGCGATTGTTTTTGGACGACACTTCATTTCGAATCCCGATTTGCCATACAGAATCCAGAACGGCATTCCGCTCATTCCTTACGATAGAAGCACGTTTTATTTACGAAAGCAGGAGAAGGGTTATACCACTTATCCATTTAACAAGGAGTTTGAGGCACGGCTGTAGATTAGATATTAGACTTTCATGATGATTTTATGATGGGATACACTATTGATTTTAGATAGATAGATTCTTTAAATAGAATGTATATATGCAGTATACAAATGTCCAAAAAGAGACATCCAGCCCTAGGCTGTAATCCACTACGTAAAAGATCAGTATCATTTCCAAAAATAATATCTACACTTCAACCCTCGAGAGAGAACCATGCAGCGGATAGATTTAGTAGAGTATAATAGACTAGCCACAACTACCTACTCTATTCCATACACAATAGCATCCTAACGAGGGTTTACAATAAAGTCGTTCTAACGGGCCGAGAAGACGTACAATAATATCTAGATCATCTCCTAAAACCTACGAAGTAATAGAAGTAAAAATCATTCTCCACAAGTTATTTCGTAACTATTCGATTCATATCCAGAATCCATTGCACTCTCTGGACGAGACCTAGGACACTTTATTTGGCTTCGAAGAGCGCAAACCAAGGTTTTACAATGTATTATTTCTAGCCGACTGATAAGAGGTCTAGACATTCTCTGCTCATCGATTACCTCTTTGTATTTCGGAACCACTTAAGTCTTTTTGACACGATTCAATACTGCCCCGTTCGTCTGAACTTTCCAGTTTTGTACCGCTGTTCAGATGAGAGTGCTAGCATATTTTATTTGCCGAAACTCTTTTCGGGTCGTCCTTTTCATGGCCCTACTGCCAGAATGGGAATAATTGATATCATTATCGACCGTCTCAAGACCCAGAATCCATAGTCTCCCCCATCATCACCGGCTCAACATACTTCTCAAAGTACTCCCTCTCAACCCCCAACTTAACCGCATCCACAACCCCATCCTCAATCCTCTTAACATACTCCCCCCTCGGCCTCCCCTCCTATTGCCTTCTACAAACATAAACCAACATCCTCACCACTTCCCCCTCCCCCTCCTTCCCCCCATCC